CTAGAGAGGGTTAAACCAGGCTACTCCTTGGAGGCAAGGATTCTGGGGCTTCGTCTGACATACTTTGGACATGTTGCAAGGAGAGACAGGTCTTTGGAGAGGGACATCATGCTAGGTAGAGTAGAGGGACCGCGCAGGAGGGGAAGACCCTCTATGAGGTGGATTGATTCAGTGACTGGGGTAGTCGGGATGGGTGTGTCAAGAGGCAATGAGATTGGCACGGGATAGAGCACAGTTTAGGGCTGTTTTACATAGGGTCACTATGAGTTGCAAACGACTCGATGGCACATAACAACAACTACATGTACTAGGCCCTGTGGGTATAAAAGAGAAAAAGTAAAAATCTACCCTTATGACACTTGAATTCTAACTTCATGCCTTTCCTTTCCCCTAAGTATGAATATTTTACAAGTTCACACTTTAGCAGTTATAGCTTATTTCTATATAATTACTTAAGTGAATCACTTCTGTGAAGATAGGTACCAGATCCCCACCTGCTTGCTGGGCATCTTCAATATCAAGACATCAGATTCATGTTCAGAATGGAAATCATCATCTCTGACCTTACTTTTTGGTTTTTGTTCTTCATATCTTTTCCTAAAATCATACCTGTCTTAAAACTCAGAACCTTTTTCTCCTTACAAATTCGCTGTTGTTCATGTTAGGTGCTATTGAGTCAATTCTAATAGCAAGCCTTTGTATTAGATAACAGAGTCCTGTCCAGTCCTTCTCCATCATAGTCTTTGCTGATTGTTACAGTCACTGTTGTTAGCACATCTCTAGACCGTCTATTTTTTAATTTAACATTGAGAAAGTGGGAATCCCAGAACATTTAATTGTGCTTATATGAAAATATACCTAGACTAAGAGGTTGTTGTGCAAACAGAGCAAGGAAACACTGTATAAGTTTAAAATTAAGAAAAGTATGTATCACAGTTGTATCTCTCTCCATACCTATTCAGTCTGAACGCTGAGCAAATTATTTTGGATGCTGTAACTCTATGAAGAATGTTGTATCAGGATTGGAGGGAGACTTATCAGTAACCTACTTTATGCAGATGACACAGCTTTACTTGCTGAAAGTGAGGGGGACATAAAGGATCGTCAGTATGGGTTACATGTCAACATCAAGAAAATAAAGATTGTCACCACTGGACTTATAGGCAGCATCATGATAAATGGAGAAAATATTGAAAGTGTCAATGACTTCATCTTACATGGATCCACTTGGTATGGACAGTCATGAGATCAGGAGATATATTGCATTGGGAAAGTCTGCTATTTGGAACCTCTTTTATTTACTGAGAAGCAACAGTGTCAATTTGAAGACTAAGGGGCACCTGATTTAGGCCATGATATTTCAGTCACTTGTTATACATCTGAGAACTGGGCAGTGAGTAAGGATGATAAAAGAAGCACTAATGAGTTATGCTTTTGGAGAACAGTACTTAATATCCCAGGTACTGCCAAAAGAACAAACAGATATGCCTTGGAGAGAGTGCAGCTGGAGTGGTCCTTAAAGCAAAGATGACAAAGCCTTGCCTCACATCTTTGGGCATGTTGTTAGGAGAAGATCTTCCTTAGAGAAGAACATCATGTCTGGAAAGGTGGAGGGTTGATAAGAGACGAAGACTCTCAACCTTATGGATTGACACAGTGATTGCAGCAATGGGGTCAGTTATGTCAGGGGTGATGAGGATGATACAGCATAGGATAGGATGAGTCATACTCGATCATACCTTAGAATAACAATTCCTACTACTTTTTCAAGCATGATGTTCTTCTCCAGGGAATAGTCATTTCTTCTGATATCATACTCAAAGTATTTGAGATGAAGACTTAGCATACTTGCTTCTAAGGACTACTGGTTGCTCTTCTTGTTAGAAGATACCAAGTCCTTATGCTTTACTTTTGCTTCTTGCCTTATATATTTTCTTTTACATCCTTCACAGATTCTAGTGTCATAACAGGCACAGAGCTAGAATATCAGTAAATCTTTATAATGTTTTAGATTTTATTATTCAAATAATAATTGTTTATATTTGAGTTGTGCAATTCAGTTTAAAAATGCTACAACTTCTGACAACAAACACCTTTAATTATTCACTCAGCATCCAACAAATATTTGTGGAATAGCTATAAAAGGTGATATATATATATACACATACACAAATAAGTACATTTAAAAAAAATTATTAATTTTAATGAACATTTACAGAGATTTTGGATTTCCATTAATTCATTGTTGCACTTTTCTCCCTGACCAGCCCTCCCTCTGCCCCCAAGTTCACTCCTCTCTTTGAAAAGTAAAAGAAAAATTCTTTCATTGGCATACAATCCCCCTGCACACACACCCCCCTCCCCCCAAGTACACTCCACTATGCATCCTTAATTCTGGACTCTTGTGATAACCATAATACCCTATTATATATTGCTTTTAAATTGTTCTCTCCCTCATCTGTTTCAATGCAGTATACATAATTTATCCAGTTTTTCTCAGTCTTACCCCAACCCTGATGTCAGTCCCATTCTACAACAGTGGCACCATGCAGTATTTGTCCTTTTGTGACTGAGATACTTCACTCAGCATAATGTCCTCCAGGGTGACCCATAAATAAGTACATTTTTTAAGTCATTATTTCTTTTTAAGGCAAATGGACGATTTGAAGTGGGCAAGAAAATCTGTTTGAGCATCTCGGGCCATCATCCGGAAACTTGGCAGCCTTCCTGGAGCAGTGAGTACTAATTTATAGTGAATATAAATTTTACACCACTTTAATCAGTTAATAATGACATAAAATATTTTTTGAGATTAAAGCTGGATTCGATAAACTTTTTTTTCTTTTTGAACAAATACTAAAAATACTTCTCTGTGTCTCAATTTTGCCGTCATTTTAAGACAACTTCCCCTTTTCGTTGAAACCCTTTACCTTTCCTTTTCCAGAATAAACCCGATTCCTTTTACAGAATAACTTAGACTGAGATTACTTTTTATTTCAGTAAGAACAGCATTGTTAGCCATCATTGGATTTATGCCTACAAAAGGAGAAGGAGCCATAGGATCTCTAGATTACACACCAGAGGAGAGAAGAGCACTTGCCAAAAAGTAAGTGTTGCGTTTCATCTGGGAGAAGGGTGGGCAGTCTCTGCCTGTGCAATTTATTGCCTCTAAAAACCCTCTACAGGGTCAGCTATGGCTTGGTTTTGACTCGACAGCAAAACAACAGCTTTTCTGGATGATGATTATTAAGAAAATAGGGTATGTCTCTTATTTTTTCAGTTACTTTAGCTGTAAGATCTGGTCTTGATCTTTGCTCTTTGAGAAAGCTAGTTGTATCAGTTTCTCCAGGGTTGAGCAAAAGCTAAAGAATTGATTTTATATAATTTAGTTTTTTAAAAAATAGTTGATCATATCAATCTATAATGGAAAATATATTCTCTAGGGAAGCAATATTGATCGTTTACTACTCTATAATTTTACAGATGAAAAGAATCAGAGTAATTATTTATACTTGGCTTTCCACAAGATTGAAAATTCCTGAGGATAGAAAAGGCATCTTCTTCATTCATCTTTGTATATACAGTATTTTTGTTGTTTTTGTTATGTGCCGGTACGTCACTTGCGACTCACAGTGATCCTATATACAACATCTCTATACCCTGCTCTATCCTGTGACAATTTTATTGTCTCCAACATACCTACCTCCATTACCTCAGTCACTGCATCAGTCCATCTCCTTGAGGGTCTTCATGTCCTGTGCTGTCCCTCCACTCTCCCAAGCATGATGTCCCTCTCCATGGACTGATCCCTCCTTGCAACATGTCACAAGTATGTCAGACGAAGCTTCAGAATCCTTGCCTCCAAGGAGCAGCCTGGTCTCACCCTCTTCAGGATGAACCTATTTGTTCTCCTAGCCATCCATGGTGTAGTCAATACTCTTCTCCAGCACCACAGCTCAAAGGCATCAATTCTCTATCCCTAGTCATTGTCCCACTTTCTGATGCATAGCAAGTAATTACAAAGACCATGACTTGGATCAGATGCACCTTAGTCTCCAGACTGACATTGCTCTTCATTATTTTGGAGAGGTCCCTGACAATAGACTTTCCCAGTGCAATTTGTCTTTTAATTTCCTAGCACCAAGAGTGTTGGTTATGGAGCCATGCAAATTGAAGCTGTTAATAATCTCAATCTTTTCATCATTTATCATGATGCTGCCAACTACCCCAGTGATGAGAATCTTTGTTTTCTTAATGTTGAGCTTCAAGCCATATTGGAGGCTGTAGTCCTTGACCATTTGCAGCAGGCCCTTCAGGTCCTACTCAGTTTCAGCAAGCAGGGTTGTGTCATCTGCGTAATACAAATTATTGATGAGTCTTTTTCCAATCTTGATGCCACATTTCTTCTCATATAACCCAGCCTACTGGATAATCTGTTCTGCATATAGATTGAAAATATGGAGATATGACACATTCCTGGTGTACACTCTTCTCAATTTTGAACCATGCAGTGTTTACTTGCTCTGTTTTGACAACTGCATCCTGGTCCAAGTATAGGTTTCTCATAAGCACTATCAAGTGTTCTAGGATTCCCATTCTTTTCAGAGTCAGCCACAGTTTGTTGTAGATTATTTAAAGTGTCTAGTAAATAGTCTAGTTAATTTTATTAGTCTTCTCAATATCATTGGTCGATTCAGAGTCTTCGGATTTTATACAAATTCTATCTTCCAAGTTGTACTGCTAATAAGTAGATATTTAGATGAATAGTTTGTGGAGTTTTCCCCTTGAAATTATCTGTAAATTTTGTTTTTAATATTTTTATTGATAATATATATATATAGCAAAACATTTGCCATTTCAATGATTTTTACATATATAATTCAATAATGTATTTACAGTGTTCTACAGATACTGTTGTTAGGTGCCATTGAGTTATCTATGATTCATAGAGACCCTGTGAACAATGTATCTGAACCTTGCCAAATCCTGTGTTGTCCTTATCACCTATGATATACTTTAATCCATTGTTACAATCTCTGTGTCAATCCATTTTGTTGAGAGTCTTTTTCTCTTTCACTGACCATCCACCTTGCCAATCATGCTTTTTCTAAGAAACTTGTCCAAAGTATGTGAGACAAAGTGTTACTATCCTTGACTGTAAGGAACACCCTCATCGCCCTTTCTCTGAGACATAATTGGTTGTTGTTTTGACTGTGGGATTCTTAGTACTCTTCTCCAAAACCGCGACTCAAAGGCATCAGTTCTTCTTTTTCATTCTTACTCATTGTCCAAATTGCAGATGCATAGCAAGTAATTGAGAAGACCATGGCTTGAATCAGGTATCAGTCTTTAAACTGATGTCATTGCTCTTTAGCACCCTGGGTAGGTCTTGACAGCAATCCTTAGCCCAGTGGTGAAGATTTTTGTTTTCTTGATGTTGAATTGTAATCTGTATTGTAGGCTGTATTTGTTGATCTTCTGTAGCAAGTGTTTTAAGTCCTCCTTACTTTCAAGAAGCACGGTTATGTCGTCTGCATAACGCAGGTTGTGATGAGTCTCCTTCTGATCCTGGTGCCACATTCCTCTTCATAAAGTCTAGCCTCTCAAATGATTTGCTTAGATTACAGATTGAATAGGTATAGAGAAAGGATACAGCCCTGATGCATACCTTCTTTATTTTAAACCATACAGTGTTCCTTTGCTTTATTTGTACAACAGTTTCCTGGTCTAGGTACAGGTTCTTGTGAGTACTATTAAGTGTCCTGGGATTACCATTCATCTTAATGTTAGCTGTAATTTGTTATGATACATTCAGTCAAACGCCTTGCCTAGTCAATAAAACACAATAGACATCCTTCTGTTATTCTCTGCTTTCAGCCAGGATCCATCTGATATCAGCAATGAAGTCCTTGGTGCCATAGCCTCTTCTAAATCCAACTTGAATTTCTGGTAGTTCTCTGTTGATTTATTGTGCCAGTCATTTTTGGATAATCATCATCAAGATTTTACTTGGATACGATAGTAGTGATTTTTTAAAATATATATTAGTGATTTTTTTTTTATAATTTCCACATTCTGTTGGATCAGATTTTTGGGGAGTAGAAGGAACAAATATAGATCTCTTCAAGTCAGTTTGCCAGGTAGCTGTCTTCCAAATTTTTATTTGGCACAGAATGGTGAGCATATCCAGGGCTGCACTTGTTATTTGAAAGATGTCAATTGGTATCCCATTAATTCTGGGATCATTATTTTTTGCCTGTGCCTTCAGTGTAGCTTTAACTTTTTCCTTCATTGCCTTTGTTCATATACTGTTTTCCGATATTGTTGCCTATCAATCAGTTATTTTTTGGTATAGTGCCTCTATGTATTTCCTCTTTTTTTTTGTGATTTACATAAGCACTTTCTTACAGATGAAGGAGGACAGCAAGTTCCCCTCCAAACGGCCTCGGTCTCCTTATTTTGATGCTTCTTGGGTCATCCAAGACTTTGCCCCTAGCATCTCTCAGTATTGTAAATTGAGGTTTGCATTTGTTTTTCATTTTTTCCAGCTTGAGAAATGCTGAATGACTTTCTTTTTTTAAAATTATTATTATTATTTGTGTGTGTTTTTGTGTATACCATCAAATTGGATCTGACTAGTACAGGAGAAATGCTGAACGAGTTCTCCCCTTCTTATTCCCCAACTTCAGTTCTTTGCACGTATTGTTATAATACTATGCTTTGTCTTCTCAAGCTACCCTTTGAAATCCTCTGTTTATCTCTTTAACGTCAGCATTTTTTCCCCTTTGTTTTGGCTTCTCAACATTCTAATGCAATATTCAGAGCCTCTTCTGACATCCATGTTGATCATTCTTTCTCTTTAGTCTGTGTATCTTTGCACTCTTCATAGATGGTATCCCTGATATCATCACACAACTCTTCATCATTAGTGTTCAATGCCTCAAACCTATTCTTGAGGTGGTTTTTTTTCCAATTCAGGTGGGATAGACTTAAGGGTTATATTTTGGTTCTTGTGGACTTACTGATTTTCTTCAGCTTCAGTTTGAACTTGCACATGAGTAACTGCTGGTCTGTTCCACAGTCAGCCCTTGTCTGGTTTTGATTGGAAATATTGAGCTTCTCTCACAGTTCTTTCCATAGATGTGGTCAGTCTGATTTCTGTGTAATCTTTGTGCAAACCTAACAGAGTAACAACAACCTTTAACAGAGTAACCCTTATCTTCTTGTTTCCCCCCCTTTTTTTAATTAAATTTTATTAGTTTTAATGAACATTTACAGAGATTTTGGGTTTTCATTCATTCATTGTTGCACTGTTTTCTCCACCCTCATCCCCAGTTCGTTCTTCTTCCCCCCCATGTCTGTTTTAATTGTCCAATTGCCACAGTGCTTGTCAAAGCCAGTTCTGATTAATCTCCTTTGTTAGTGTGTCCCTTGCCATTCCCTATCACTCCTCCCTGAGAGAGACTTCACCCTGATTCATAAGGAAAAGGGGATGGCGTATTATCTTAGCTACTTCCTGCTGAAAAGGGACGCTGTGGGTTTCAGGCTGAAGGTCTTCTCTCACTACTCTAAAGGGCCCCCTTGGCAGTAGGAAACACATAGACTATTATGGAGATTGATTTTGGAATTTAGATGCACTGTTATCAGTTGTGCTTAGCCGTACACGTTCATATCCTTGAAGATGTATCATGGAAGTGCTGCAGTCTAGAAGATACAAATTGAACAAGTTAAAAGTGCATGAGTCAAAAATTGAAAAGCAATAATATTCCGAGTAGAGGTTCTAATAGTGGCACAAATCAAGTTACAGAGGTAAGGTGGTTCCATTGCCATCCTTACTCTAACGTAATTCTTTTTTTTAATTTAAATTTGTTATTAATTTCAGTGAAATTGTTTTCCCCTTTTACTTGTCTCTTGTCACCACAAATAGATTTTTATTTCTGAATGTTTACTTATTTTGTGAACTTCATCTAAGTGTGAGCTTATAAGATTTGTATTAAAGTTCATTAATTTATTTTTTAAATTTTTCATTTATTTCATAGCTTGTATGTATCAGAACTTTATTTCTTTTTATGTCTGTAAAATATTTCATTGTATGTATATACTACA